CAGCTATTTTCATTTAGTGAAAGACCCAGAGGGGTTGGAGTTCAGATTTTGGTTTAGTTGTTGCAGCTGTCCCAAAGTACTATATTCCCAATCATAAAACTGGTGAAAACCACAAATAAATTTTGTACTTGAGTTTTTATAGAAATGATTATATATCATTTGCAGGTTTTGAGATGTAATAAAATATTTTTATGTTAAAACACGTTCTTGAGTGTTTGTTAACACAATTAGTTATATAGATGCCACATTTTTCCATTTTGGTCATTGCAGTCAAATATGTATTTCCCAAAATGAAAAACACTTAAATGCCAGTGTTATTTTGGGGTTGCTTCTCTAATGGGGATGACATTAAATGGCTATTTAAGATAAAAAGATGTGTTTTACAAAGTGTTATGAATAGGTCCAGATGTGTCTGGTTTTGGTTGACATGACCACATCCTATATTTTGTAGCCATGGTTACCAGCATGTTGGTCACTACAGTAACCACAGAGTAGCCATAAGAACCACAGTCTCTGATGCTTTACCTTTGCCATGCACACTGATTATCTTTCAGAAAACCAAAACCACAAAGGAACTTCTGAAATACAAATCATTACAAGAGCATTAAAGTGGGATTTGCTGATAAAATTATAATTTAGGTCAATTCTTTGTTTATTTATTGGACTGTTCCGGGTCTTAATATTTAGAGTTTAGCAAATGTTTGTTATGAATTTGTCTGGCCTAAAGTTGTATGGAAGTTTGCTTATTTGTTGAAAATATACACAGTACAGTGGAATTAGTTAATTATTCAGTGGTCTAAGACAAGTCTCTCATTCTTTGAATGTCTAATGCAGGAATATAGTAGCATTAATCAATATTCAAATATGTTACTTTTATTTAAAAAACAAATACAACATCTGTTTTCTGTCACTTTCTTCTGTTTCTTGCATATGTTCCAATTTCTATAGCTTCAGACATATACAATGGAATAGAAGCTGACCTTGCAAGTACATTGTGATTTACAAATATACTCACCTGCCTATCATTTTCTTTCAAAGAAGACTGATCATAGTAAATTGAACATGTTTATTATAAAGGTGATATGTCAGATGAATCCTAGTATTAACAGAACATTTCAAGTTGCTCTTGGAAAAGGTTACTGTGATATTATTCAAGACTCAGACTGATGCCACGCTTAAGACCATAAGAATTTAATGTTGAGTATTTTGTGTTGAGGAACCTTAAAATATAGTAGCTTGTTCAATTAGAACATTTGATATTATATTTCAAATCACCATGTAAATTGAAGGAATCTGGCAAGTGGCAACTGGATTGGAAACAAGATTTACTTATCTTCTCATAACATTAGATCATTGCATGTAAATGCTAGATCTTATGTTCACTAATTTCTTTCTGACATGCAGAACTTTGTCTTGCAGCCATTTGATATATCAGCCAGTGATAACCAATTAGGCACTGTTTAATTTGAAAAATTGTGAGGCACCAGTATCATCAAATAAGTGCATTCACATCAGAAAGTGCATTAAAAAATACATTGACTCATATGTATAATTCAAACTCATTTTCTTGAGTATGAGTATACTGTATAGTTCAGGGAAGTTTCTAGGCCAGATTTGAAGCAAGAATTTTAAGTTGTCTCTTATATCATTATAGAAGTTGGTTTATTCTGGCAGAATGTTGGAGTAAGCTTTAGCTTGTTAAGCTTTCCCTCATAAGTACCTTTCTACTTTAATACACCTCTCTTCTCAGACTTTTGTATTACTTTTTAGAAGTTTCCTTTAAACGATTCATATAGTAAATGGTTGCACTTTTGGTAAAGCAAAGTTTATGGTTTAAAATGAATATTTTGATTAGAAGTAAATATGTTAAGCTCATCCAGGGGTTTATAGCATGTGTTTGCAGTCTGAGATTTTATCAACTAGTTATTTGGATTTTATATTCTACTCATGTAGTCTTTATGGGTAGATAAAACCAGATAAAATCATAACAAGTCATGAACATCAATGGAGAATGCTTCTGTAAGATGTCATCATAGACCAAGATTGATGAAGCTTTTAGATGTTCTGATATACTTGTTGCCTGGAAGAAGAAAGTATGAAATTCTGAAAAACTTGATCTTTATATGTTTCATTCTTTAACCTCTCTATTTGAAGAGTTTGTGATATATATCAGGTAGTCTATTATATCTTGTCATTACTGAATGTATTAAATGTTTGCATGCTCAGAACTCATTTGTAGTATCAGTAGCTCAAATTTTTTAGTTTTTTTATTTATCTTTAATAAAAAGTTGTTTTGGTAGAAATAATATACCAAGTGTCAGGTATTTTTCTTTTCTTTATAAAATAAATGTTTACCCCAAAAGACAAGAGCATTTCAAAAAGTGCTTCACATGGGTTCACAGCTGACCACAACTCTACAAGAACTTCTTGGCATGACATGGTAATGCTAGACAGGGGAACACATGCCCTAATGTTAATTATGAAGTGTTAAAACACAGGCTTCCTAAGTGTTTGGAGTCAATTAAACATTTAATTGACTGCAAGCACTAGATTAATGATATTAATGATGTGATAAGTTAGGATGGATATTATACTAACATTGAACTTAACATGGCTTTGCTTATTGTAAATATATAAGATTTTACTGGAGGTGTATTTGGTTTTACTGAGGGAATATTTAATTTCACTGAGGATTTTTAGTCACAAATTGCCTAAATGCATTTGCTAGTTGCGGGAGTTATAGATTATCCAAAAATGAGTTTATCTCAGTTGAAGTTTATCATGATAGATATGTTTTTTTAGGGTAAAGGTTATCACCAGAGCAAGCAAAGGGTAATTCAACCCAGTTTGAATAGACTCTATAGCTAGAAATTCAAGAATGATCCTGGAACATTTAATTAGTTTTTTTTACAGGTGTCAGATAGTATTATTCAAAATATCAAGAATAGAAATGAGTCCAGGTCGAATTTATGTTGTCAATTATGTGGTTCATATATAACATTTATTCAGCTCCATCTTTATGAGCTCAATGAAACTAAAGCTCATGAAATTATAAATTGCTGTATTATACCACTGTTTTGGGAAGAGACCTAATATCTTGTCTTCTATTTTTTCATTTTGGGATTGATTAACCTAATTGGTTCACAGAGGTATCTGACATTGTTGTATGAGATTCACTCTGTTTCCAGCCTATTGTCACTATACAAGAGAATTTGAGAAATGCTTCATTTCTATAAGTTACACCCTGGAAAACAACAAAGCTTTTTGTTTTTAGTACCAAGAATAACTTTTCTGTTTTCACTTTCAATATATGATAGTGATATATATCATATATTATATTGCAGCTTTAAGTGGATATTCTATGATACCTAAACCCCTTATATTCTCTTACTCACTGTTCACTTATATAAGTAGGTCAGTATTTTAAGAATTTACTTATCTTTGAAAATATTAGCTTTATTTGTCGAATCTCAGCAGTTGAAGCCGTTGAAGATGCTAAACCCTGAATTTGAGATGTTTTGTTTGATAATAATATATAACATTTAGAAAATATCACAAGTGGTCAATTTATAAACACAGAAGAAGTAAAATCGAGCATATATATTCTACAATATAAGATAAGGGTCTTTCAAGAGATCACAGTTGTACAAGTATGATGAATTGACTAGGTATATCAGGCAATTAGTTACCTCTTACAAAAGTGCCAAGATATTGAAGCATTTTACATCATCTTGATAAATCACTAGTTAGCTATTCGCTTTTGTGTTGTCAAGCTTCATTACTAACAAATTGAGAAAAATAGATTTTTTTTGCGCTCCTTACAGTGTCAGTAAACTCAACCATGAATATAATGTCTAGCCAAACCAGTATAAGGCAAAATTGTTCCAGATCTTCCCTAACTTGGTTTTCTATTTAATTCATTTATAGTTAAGTTAGTAAGTTAGTATGAAAGGTGCTTATCATGAGTAGTTCTGAAGGCACCTTTCTATTAGCTGATTGAAGTACATCCAATTTAGGACAAAAATTATGAGGGACATTGATTCCACTTGCGTCAAAAGTCAGATTAAATCGATACAATTATGATACAGTCAAACAAATTCTCTAAGTTGCCAGATGAGCCAGATCAGATGAATAATTTACAATATGCTTTGGAGTATGTTTCATCATTTGAGTATTTCAGATGTTTTTTTGCTGATGAGTAATTTGTCTTAACATAGGTGGATAAGTATTAATAACCCTTTAAAAACCTTCAACATGTGGATTCCTTCAATACCCCTTGATTATCTTAGTAGGCAATAACATCTCTTTGTAATTAAGTAAGTAAAGTTATCATTGGTTTTCATATTTCATACTGGGCCCTGGCCAGAAATGAATTGAAGTTCTTTTTTGCTTGATTCATCAAAATATGTCATATACTATTACTATAAGGTTGCTTTTGATATTTCTAAACACTGTTGTACATGTATAGTATAGCCCTTGAATATGTATCAATGACACTTGAAAAAATCCTTGAGATTATCTAGGATTATGAGATTTATGAATATACATTGTCTTTGAAGATGGCTTATTGTAGATAATACAGGTGATCACTTTACAATATCACATACTACATTCTTTCATCTCCCTTATGAACCATTCCCCAGTTCATGTTTAATCACACTAAGTGAGATGTTGTTTGAGGGTAACTGGCTTGAATCACATTTGAAGTTTATAATTACAACATACGGGGACACCGAGATCTATAATTACATGAACTTGATTCATGCTATATACATTTATAAAGAAGTACCACGAATATCAGAATTTATTGCAAAATAAAAATTTAATTAAAGTGTCTAGAAAGTTGGCAGTAATTACTAGTTACACTATAATGGAACCCCTAAGAATGTTTTTCCAGTAGAAATAGTTTTAATAAAGTTTCTTTTTGATCTTGAAATTACATTATATCAACCATCTATTCATTTGAGATTAATCTTGATTGTTGTTTTGTGTACTTACAGACTTCAGAAAATCTCTGAAAGAAGGATCCGTGCAGACTTACCATAGCAGAGATGTCACAGACATTGCACAATTAACCCTCGACATTCCAAATAACCAACTTTTAGTTGGTGCTAGGTGAGTTTTAAAAAAGAAACAATGTCAAATTGTAGAGTTTTCTAATTATTATGTAAAAATTTCAGTTTTAAAAAAGCTGATGAAAAAATGAAAGCAATGCACACGAAGCTATATACAAATCTTTAAAAACAATCCTATGTATCTTAAATGTTTGCTTTCAGAAATTATTTATTAAGATTAGCGATAGATGACCTGAGTCAACTGGAGAAGGTAGAATGGCCCATTAGTGACACTGAAAGGGAGATGTGCCTCAAGAAAAGACCAGGATCTGTAAGTTGATAAATATTAGAAAATTAACCTCATCAAGAAATATAATATAGCGTGTTACAAGGTGAAAAAGTGATACGATTTCTTAATTTCAAATAAATGAATAAGATGAGATTTGTAAAAATCATACTCAGACCTGTGAAAATGGACCAATTTTTATGTCATTTTAGACTGGCTGTGAAAACTTTGTTAAAGTTCTACTGACCAACAATGAAGGAGGAGTGTTTGCCTGTGGGACCAATGCATTTGAACCTAAGTGCTCATGGAGGGAGGTCAGTATATTGGAAGTGTCTGCTTAAAACGCAATGTCCAAATGTAGTTCACAATGCATAACTGATGTTGAAATTGCTCTAGAGGTATGGGAGCCATATGTGAATGTAGGTACATCTTGTGAATGGTTGAATGGAAATGTGTGAATGCTCAATGGACATATAATGGCTGGTCCAACCTGTATAGGTTACTTCTTTCCTCTTATCCTAATTATCAGTCCAGTTTTGATATTCATTTGTAAAAACAGCAGATATAGCTCAGAGACTGGTTGTAATTTGCACAACCTGGATATGTGCCATGCTAATTACAGGTGTAAGGCCTTTCATGTTTCCCTGATATCTTTCACATGCTTGTCTTAGAGAACATAAATAAAGCCTGTATACTGAAAGATGTTTATGTTTGAAGCCATCTAATAAAAACGCTAATCTATTATTAGCCCATAGACTACACTGTCTGAAAATTAGAATATTGAAAGGGAGGAGTAAGAATAATCACGCATCAGGGATTAAATGGGAGCTGACTTGATGCAATGGTTTGGCGGGGGGGGGGGGAGGGTTTGTGTAGTACATACTGACATAACTCAATTGCAAGTTATCACATATGGCTTAAGGAAAGGGAATGCTAAACTGTTGATGGGCTAATGTGGAATAACACATAAGATTAGATTATTGTTCTTGCCTATGGGTTGCTGCAATATTGTTATCTTAGTCCAGGCACATGCACATTACTAAATAGGTCAAATCATAACTAACACCTGGATCTCATCAAAAACAATACAAGTGGCGATACATCATCATTCAAAATTAGGCAATGCATGTGTATTGATTTGTTACAAAACCACCTACGTCACTGTCAAGCAATTTTATTATTTTACAACTCAAACTTCAGCTGAATTATATATTGCCCTTTGCTTTGTTTGGAATCAAGGCACCAGGTCAGATGTGACAACAGTAGGCACTTTGCATCATTTATCAGAAGTGTTGCATTTTGCATAAACTCAAGTAGTTTTATATCATAAACATGTCTTTTGTAAATCAACTCAAGATTATAAAACTTATTTTAACTTCTTGGGTAAACAAACAAAATCATTTATATGCTTATAATTATGAATCATTTTCGGTTTATTTTGCTACTATATCTTCCAAGGACAGTTACCCCTATATTTTTGGCATATAAAATTATAGCTTTTTAAATAATATAAAACACTTTGAAGTTTTTATAACTTCTAAAAGTAGGAGTACAGCATGTGTTTTGATTAACAGGTGCACTAATTACTACTTTGATGTAATATGTCATAACCAGTTGTTAATTTAATGATGTAATTAGGGGTCCTTTTCACTTCTAATAAACTGTTTATAAAATTGAACAGGAGTGCTTTGAATGGAAAGATGGTGTTATTCTGGTCTCGAATATCCATATGTTACATTATATGAATGTACTTCATATGAATGCGATATTGATGAATAAATTTAATGAATGATAGTGCTATATAATACTCTTCCACATATCTGAACTTTTATTTATCTTTATATAATTCCATGTATAAAGTTCTATAGATAAAACTGTTTGAAATCTCCATGAAGTGTCCCCAGTTGCTATAAAAGCATCCAGGTGTGTTGAACAGATGGTGTATGACCTGACAAGTTGCCACATATTACCTCAGGTCTGTGGTCATCATTTTAAACATTGTTCTATCTTTTTGTCATTCCCAGCTCCTCCCTAGACTTAATAATGATGATGGATGATAATACTGTAGCAACAACGTGAGATGAATTTTTCTCATTTCATTGTATTATGAAACTGAGACAGCCTTAAAATACGAATTAACTAAAGCTTATTTCAAGCACATTTCAAGACTTTTCTACTTTACACTGAAATAGCTGAAATCAGATGTCGTAAAAAGGACATTTCTCAAAGTTCTAACAGTAAAATTGAACATCAGTCAAGGCGCTACATGAGATCTACACAAGAAACTTGAGTTTAAACACCCTCACACTGAGTTGATAGCTCTTTAACTTACAAAAACATAATATCACAGTTTTTATCTCAACTTCTTATCATATTATTTGTTGCATGTGAGCTCAGATTTCTCAATTATGAGGAAGTAGTTTTATTTTACTAAAAACACATGTATGCGGGTTGAACTTGAAGTTCATATGTTGTGAAAGTCAAGTAAGGGATATCTTAAAAGGTAATGCTAATATTACTGAAATAACACGGCCATGAGATACGACATGATATCTATACAGATTATAACAGTCACTTGTACTTTTAACCTGAATTATGCAAACAGTGTGTGAATTTTACAATGACATTCTAGGATAAGCGTGAGTTTTGTCACATGTTATTGGCAATGTTTTCATGTCTGCAATGTTTAGTTTTTGGTTTTATTGCCAATAAGCTATTACTGCATAATGTTTAAGACAACAGTGATGAGAAAAGGGAAGCTTTCCCATGATGTCAGCATTGAACTTGAAGTTTTCCCATGATGTCAGCATTGAACATTATTTCTATTGCAAGCAAGATCAGCATGTAAAGAACATTGTGATTTGTATTTTGCATGGCAAAGTCCATACCATTTCTATCAGAGCTTAAATTGAAAATGCAAAATGCAGTATAACAAGTCCCTCATGGCAAAACATCCAAGTGCCCTTGAAAAACAACAAACAAAAAACAGACTTGAAACTAAAGAAGTGTTGCCCGTACAATCAGCTTAAGCTTTGTATTTTCACTAAGGTAAATCCTGGTAATCCACTAAATCATTTGCGTATGTAAGATTCTATCTCTAAGAGATATAGACGTCATTGAAATGCCAGACTCTGAAGTAAAGAGGAGATCCTATTTGTTTTTTCCTACTTACTCAAGTATTATCTTAAATCTACTTTTTGCATATTACAACCTGTTTTCAAAGCTTGATGAATGTGTGGAACTTGTAGAGAATGTTTGAGATAATTGTGGTTTTGTCTTGTTGTTATATCACCTTCAATATAAACTGAGCTCTCAAGTGACTTAACATACATCTGTCCAATGTCTGTTTTATTTCAACTTTTTATTCTCTCTTCTAGTCTTTCTAGTTACATGAATACAAATTAGTAGTATATTCAAAGATGTGCACATTTTATTTTTTTAATGTAATATTCATTATCAGATTTTTCAATGAATAAAGATCAAATTGAGTAAAACAAGGATCCATATCCGTGTACTTTTGTAAAAAAATCACTATTTAAGTAAGCAATTACATTATCTATCCTCTACTTGACTTGTATATAACATGATAATGTATGGTGCATGGATGTTTTATGAAAGGTCCAACTTTAGGATGCTGATAATATATAGCAGGATCTGCACTTGGTTTCACTCTACATTCTAACTTTAACTTCCTGTTAGAATAACAAACATAAACCACAATTATTACATTACACAATTGTTGCTAAAGAGATCCGCTAGCATATAGCAGCGTTAAGAATGTATATTTATGAATATGAGGGGGAGGGGGATGTCAGTTACTTTTACTATAATGTAATCAGTAGCTACTGTGGTAACTCCTCTCTGACTATACTCATTTTTGTTCTTCTTTACAAATATTAGCTCTGTTGTCTTGGCTAAACCAATAATGAGTGAATAATTTTTCCTACAGATAGAATGAATCTACATTTCTAATATTTCAGGCAACAAACCTAGGGACTGTAAGAGGATGGGTGAAAGGGCTTGGAAAATGTCCATTCAGCCTCCAACAAAACAGTACTGCCTTTATCAGCCAGGATGGGAACCTGTTCAGTGGGACTGTGATTGACTCTGCTGGGGGGAATTCTCTCATCCATAGAATCTGGCCATCCCCTCCCCCTGGTCTCAGTGAGAGTGCGGGTATATCCAGTCTTGGAACACTTCGCACTGAGAGGGATTCGAAGTGGCTCAACGGTAAGGACTAAAATAGTGATGTGATTCCAGAATTTTTAAAAAGGACCACAGAAGACACCACGATCCATATATTTTCATTTTCCTTTGTAAATTCAGATATTAAAACCTGTTAGCTTTCATAAGATAAACATTCCAATGTTAAATTGATCAGAAAAAACAGACAAAAACAACTTGAATTGGCTTCAGATTCAGAACATCCTACTCCTTTTCACTAGTTCATTCACATTATTCATTGGCATACTGTATTTGTTTGTAATAGTAATCCATCATAACAAACACATTACAAGAATGCTTATTAGAGCCAACTGTCAACTGTTTTACATAATATTTGATGACCCTTGCTTTAAACAACAATATCTTTTGCCAGATGTTTGGCTGAAAATGTAAAATTTATTGATAGGAAAGTTACATGTGTTAATTTAACATATTTTACTGAATATTCTAAAGTAAATAAGCTGAGGAAATATATTATGTTTCTGCACTGTATGGTAAACTTTAATGTTTATAATAGTTTATAAGAGTACAGTTTCATTGGATCTTTCACCCGGCCAGTCATAATAAACAAGAGTTGAAAAATAATCAGTTGTTTCATTAATTGTTTTGACTTTCATTCTGAATTCCTATTCTTAAAGAAGCTCCTAATTCAGGATTTAAAATTATGTAGATTTCCACTTGTCTGCTGTGAACATGACTGGAATTCAAGATCAAGTCCGGGGATATTTATTTCTAAATTACATTCAAGGCACAAAAACTTCCATCTGTTACATTTGTCTATCTTTTTGTTAAAACTGTTAGTTTGTCGAGTTGTCAGGGCTACAGAGTTCAAATTTATGAGAAGTGATAAAAATGTATATACTAGCAGATGGTTATCAGATTTTTGCATATTGGTTAAGGTTAACCTAAACCAAGGAGATGATGGGTTAACTTAAACCCATGGAAGATGACGTTATCACAGCTTGATTGAGATGGGGCCATGTTTAATGGGCATTGTACCATAAAGTGGAGTCAATGTGACCCAGAATGTTATCTTTGCACTATAATCTTAAGAGTATTTCTTGCCTAGCTAATGTTTTTTCAGTGATATCAGTATCAGATATTGCAAGTGTATAATCTTAAATGCATTGTAACATGATTGCTGCTCACTTTGAAATATTATATCATTCTCTAATGAAAATATATTCATTATATTTTTAGGGGCCAACTTTGTGTCCTCATACGAGATTGGAGACTTTGTTTATTTCTTTTTCCGAGAAACTGCAGTGGAATATATTAATTGTGGAAAGGTAAGTATTCATTGAAATAGTAAGCTATTCTGACACAAGAATTTACAGTTGTGGAAAGACATGTTCTGAGTTACCAATTGAATTCCAATTTTTCTGAGAGACCAAGTTGTAACGTAAACACTTAACATTATCACTGATGCTATTAATAAAATCTTTGCCATCGTTATGCTATATTGCACAACTGACAAATTACAACTGATTTAATTTCCTTTAGTTATAATCTAATCTAAAAATCAATGAAGTCTAAAATTGCAATATCCTTCAGAGAAAACACAAATCCGTATACACTTCAAATAACAGTCCAATGTACAGTTCAATAATTACCTCACATTAAGGTTATTGTGCTCTAATTTCATATTTGTATTTTTGAGCATTGCACTAGACTTACATGAATGATTGCTGATAATAACTTTTCTTATTTCAGAATGTTTATTCAAGAGTGGCTAGAATGTGCAAGAACGACCCTGGTGGTCAATTCTTAATGAAAGATAGGTGGACATCATTTACAAAGGCCCGATTAAACTGTAGTTTACCAGGCGAATATCCATTTTACTACAATGAGCTACAGCATACATATTACAATGAGAGTGAGGGTCTTATCTATGCTACATTCTCTACATCCACGTAAGTTAATCACTTTCCATTTTCCCCAGTGTTTTTGGAATATAATTAATTATTGATAGTAAATCAGGTGTAAATCAGGATTGTGATTATTCATTTATTTAAGGTTCTTTGTTTTTTTTAATATAGATTTTGGTTAACCAATTCATAGATAATACAAATCTTATTCAAGGATTCATTCATATCTATTCTTCCTACAGGAACAGCATTGCTGGCTCTGCTGTCTGTGTTTACAACATGACGTCACTCAATAATGCATTTAGCTCAGACTTTAAGCACCAGGAACATTCTCAAGCAGCCTGGCAGAAATTTTCAAACCCATCACCAATGTATCAGGTATGTTCCCCATATTACCAATATGTCAGTTTCATATAATGTAAGAAAGGATATTTTACTGCAATCAGTTTTCAGGAGAAGTTTAAATCGAAATGTGTGGATGCATTTTCTCCCATACATTATAATTTATAATAGTAAAATATGTATTAAACCTATTTAAAAATAGCAAAAATAAGATGTGCACTTTTGTAATACATTTTCTGTTCTGTAGTGTGCTGGCTCCCCCTCCGTACTATCAGCAGGCAGAGCCATGAGGCAGCAGGCACCTAGAATGATCAACTCCCAGAAGTATCTGATGATGGACAAAGCTGTACAGCCAACCAGTATCATGCCTATGTACAGCTCTGAACATGAAAGGTAAGCTATATAATTAAGCAACTTAATGCCAGCGTTTAAGTTTTAAAGTGTCTGCAAAATTATAATTAGAATAAAGTCAAACATCTGAATTTCACTAAAGATCTCAAAAATGAATGATTTCAGGTGGAGCCACATTGCAGTCGACACTGTTCCAGCAAAGCATCATCGTTCATTTACTGTCATGTTTCTGGTTGACCAAAAGGGCCAAATGAAGAAAATAGTTCATCTTAAGGACAGCAAAACCTCATGTTTAGTTGAGGAGATCACAATTATGTCCAAGGATAAGACCCAGCCAATCAAATCTATGCATTTGCACAAAGCTGGTCATGAATCGCATATCATCATAGCAACTGACTCTAAACTGCTGAAAATTCCTACTCAAAGATGTGGCAGGTTCCTCACTAAAACGTAAGCTCTTAAACTTCTAGTTGACTTCCTTTTTGCTATGTTCTTTACAGTAAATGGAGAAATTGTATCATGATTTGGAAATAATTGTTGAAATATCAGGAAAAACTTTTGAAGTTTACTTTTCAATAGGAAAGTTAGTGTTTGCTTCACCTATACAAAGACCAAATCATAGAATTTTGCATTATCACTTATTTAAAATAAATGACATCAACAGATAAACAATCCTCATATTTTTAATTTTTTCAGTGAATGTATGAATGCTCAAGATCCATACTGTGGCTGGCATGATCCTGCTGGGCGCTGTACTACTCCTCCAAGAGGGAATATACATACTCACAACTGGCATCAGGATGTCAAGAGTTGCCCCATCATGGATGCTCCAGGTAGGAAAGACACAGGGTGATACAGTATTAAATCTGGTATTATGTTAATACAACTACAGTATGAAATTGTCCAAGCAACTGAATTCCTTTCATGTAAAGAAATGTAAAAGAATTGTAAGTGGAAGAAGTGAAAAGGTGGAATCAATGTACAGAATATATTTCCACGCAATAATATTATTTTATCTCCATGTCTTTAATGTAAGCTTGAATAATCTACCATTTCAGTTGATGGTAAATGGGAGATGTGGTCCAATTGGACAAGATGTAGCCATATCAGTGATCCTAACAGCCCAGACATGTGTCGTTGTCGCTACAGAGCATGTGAGGGTCCCTTCAATGGTGGCAGACCCTGTTCTGGTTCCATTGTGGAAGTCACTAACTGTACTGGTGAGTAGAACAGGAAATACAGTAGGTGAAAAACATGGCATTATATGGAAATAGCATATATGCAGGGGATGGCCCAAGCTCTTAATACAGAGCTCAAACCTACTGATAATGTCTGAGAAATTAGGGATTCAGTTTTGTTAAATGGAACTCGTTTGTTGATCCACCTTGATAGTTGATACACAGTGCATGCATGTTAAAAGAGAAAAGTAATATCAACTTAAGCATGTTTTGATTTTACAAATGTGCAGATGTTTTACCTGAATTGTCCATTTATTAAACAAAAACATGGAAAATGACTGATACATTGATAAAGACTACAAGTTTAACATCCTATTTGACAATCCATATATTTGATTAAGAGCAAGAAACATCTTGTATTTCCTGTTTGTTTTTAATGCACTCTCAAAGGAATGATAAAGCACACTAGATACAAAACTAAAGTGCTACATTGTAAGTTTGCAGGTCTCATTGTCATAATGTTGTTTTACTTTGCCTCATTGTTTGCCATTGTGTTTGCTTTTTGCATTGTTAGCATTTACATGTTGTTATCTGTTCAGTTTAATTGCTAGCATTTCATTTTGTTAGACCATTGAATTGTAGCATTCATTCTTCCCTTCAATAGATTCCTTTGTATCCACCATCACCATGATTTCTCAAGAAATGTTCATTGTGCATGAAGTATCAAGTACATACACTTTATTGTGTGTATTATTGTGTGTATATTTATTTTGTGGAAAAGATTAATTTTCTTGAGATTTGATTGATAGAAATATGAATAAATCTGAAGCTGTTGAATTAAAAGAGCATGCTGTTGTACATTGCTTTCATTGCTCATCATTCCTTGTACATCTGCTTTGTATGTAGTGCAAATAGTACGTTTAGTCTTCTATTAGTTGCATGCATTAGAAACTGTACATAGATGTACATATTGTAGGACAAATGCCGCTGCTGCACATTGTACATATCATTCACCTTGATCTGAGTTGTTACATAGAACATTCTGACTATTCACACTTTTAGACTGGCTGATCATGAGTGGACAAAAATATGAAGATGGAATTTTGTTTTGATTAAGAGTGAAAATAACTCAGTGTAAAGAAATTTGAACTTTCAAAAAGATTTGCTATTTTCAAACCTCATGATCAGAACTTTATAATATATTCGACAGTTACTAGTACATAATCTAGGATTAACAGTTTGAGTTTCCAAATAGCAGCTTGGTTAACCAATCAAAACATGTTATTTCTTCAGTCCATGGAGCCTGGACGAAGTGGTCTGATTGGTCCAGCTGTAGTTCTACTTGTGGAAGCTCCGAGAGGACCAGACGAAGGGAGTGTGGGAATCCTAAGCCCAAATATGGTGGCAGATTATGTGTGGGGTCAGATCTGGATGTACAGGACTGTAGGAAAGCAGCGTGTCCACGTAAGGCTGCTTTTTATGACAAAATATGAAGTAAATTAATTCTATCAATATCAGGAAATATGGGAATATCTGTTCTAACAATGCTTCTGCATTTGCAAATAAAAACCTTGAAAACAACCTCAGGTGTGGTTCTCCAATAAGCTCAGAAAACATGTGTCACCTTTAGAATAAGAAAATGTATGTGTACTGTTTCTAGGATTTCTTAAATTACTGCTATATAATTCAAAGCCTCAATTAATTTCAGCACCTACCCCTCCACCAATAGATGGAGGCTGGTCAGACTGGAGTGACTGGGGCCGCTGCTCTGCCAAGTGTGGTGGGGGCATAAGAACACGCAATAGAGAGTGCAACAGTCCTCGGCCACAGAATGATGGCAAACCGTGCGCTGGAAATCTTGATGACTGGCAGATGTGCAATCAACATGAGTGTAATGGTAAGTTAGGATGAGGAATCATTTTAATTGCAATGTTATACAATTACAAATTTTTGTAAGATATGACATTATTGATATTTATGAATTATGATTATATGATTATTATTTCCAAATCATAATTTGCTTTTTATATTTATGTTGCAGAAGTAAGAAAACCAACACAATGGACTCCATGGTTACGATCCAACATCACCAACGATGGCTACTTTGAACAACGCCATCGCTACATTTGTCGGGCCAGAGTCTCAGACCCAAGTGACCTCAGAGCAAGCAATCCTAAAACAGAGATCCGTTTTTGTGATCCTAAAGGAGTTGATTGTGACAATAAAGGTGAGCTTGATAACTCTATTGATCTGTTTGAGTCCAGTGATCCCCTCTTCCAGGAACACTGTAGAAAGTGGCATCTGCAACAGTTTCATCCCTTCTATGGGTACTGCTCCTGTAAAGATCTAGGATTCTTTAGAACGTGTCAGCGATGTGACCCAGCCAAAGAGGCTCGGTTGAGGCGTCGACGTCATCATAGGACTCGAGGATGACAATTATGACATTTGCAGTGTAGTATTTATTCAGCCCCAGTATACTCTTGATTGTACTGTATATAGCTTAGAGGACTATTTATTTATTTATTTGAGGCTGGTGCACTGCTAGCTATAAATGTTGTTGGCACTGCTACTGTGGCATGTTTGGTGACTCTGAAAACATTGAGTGGACATTTTGAGTGTTAAGGGGGCATTCATTAGGTGTTGTGCAATCCTGATATTATACCAAGTCCCTGGATAGCCTGCCCTTGAGTTTGGAGTTATATGCCTTACTGTACGTAGCAGGTTCAGCATTATCAAGCAGTATTACGATGCAATGACTGGTTTTTGAATATTGTGATCTCAATTTATATATCGTGATATGTTTTAGTAATTTAGAGAATTTTTGTAAATGGCTGCTATTTTACAGATTTTGCATAGCAGTCTTTTATCATATTCATGTCCACTTGTATATGTCAAATCAATGGTGTTCAATGTTGTATTCAACATCCTTGCTTTTACTAACTTTTATTAGTAGCTGGTCCCTGTGTGTGCCCACTGCTGTGCAAGCCTGTAGACTAACAGACATTAGGCACCCCTTGTAAACATAAACTATTCCAATGAAGTATATAATGGTTGATTGAACATGGAAGAGTTTATTTTTTCAAGGGGTCATACTTGTAGCGTCATGTAAATTATTTATATGTGTATGTCCCATTTTTATGAAATTACATTTTAACACTATTATTCTATGTACTCTTTTGTACAGATAATAAAATTATGAGAATCCCAAATTCTAATGATATTGCTCCTTTGATTTTGAACAATATTTATGAATCTCTAGAGAATTGTAGCTTCTAACAGCTTCTTTTATTCATAGCTATCACTATGCTTGTCCTAAGTCAACTTCCAAAAGAAAAAAATTCAAATTACCTCATTTGAAAAATATTAACTGAGACTCTTATTTAATTAATCAATTCATTTCTAAACATTTCCTAGTTAAGCCTCTTAACTAGGTATCCCATGCACCATGTGTCGTGTGTTCCCAGGATAATGTGTCCCGGGGATAATGTGTCCCCGTGAGTTACACCTCCTTCTGGTAATGGCTGAAAATCTGTTTTTCTCCCTTCTTCTATAAGGTAAGCAGTGGTGTTACACTAAGCATGGTGTTCATATTAACCCCCTCCCTACCTATATACTAACTTACACCCCTCTACATACACAATAGACTCTATTTTCCTAACATGTACTTATTTTCATTATGATGATCCAATGAGCTGTTGATTTAAATTTTTTGGTTTGCTCTGAATAGTTTACCCTTCTACCTCCCAAATCCACCTGGTGTTTTTGCATCTTGCATCACAGATTTTAGTTTCAGATGTTTTTTGATTTGTTTGCTTGTTGTTTGCAAAATGTGTGGCATGGTTAAACATAAGAATACTGCAGAGATAATTTAATATAACAAGAATTATATTTCCATGTTGGGAGTCAAAATTAACTTCATGTTTTGAACTTTGAACAGTATATTGGAAAAAAGTTTCTGTATTTGTTTTGTTTATTTCCACATCAATGATCTTGACAACAATTGTGTACTATACTTGTTATCTGAATGTTATATGCATATGCAGTATTTGTTACAACTAAGATATGAACCTAATGGCCATCTTGCCTGATGCAACCCATTGGTTTTTAATAACAAGATTTTCAATGCATGAAGTCAAAAAGTGCAATATGATTACAGATTCAAACTCTTGGATGCAATAAAACACGTAGATTTGATAAAACTGTGGAGATATTCACATTTGAGAAATACACAGTTGCTTATGCTATGCAAATCCAGTTAAAATTCGAAATTGAGTTAATGTAAATATAATTCCTCCTGCAGGTGCTAGCAGACTGGATACTGATGGTGGCTGGACCAAGTGGACGTCATGGAACCAATGCTCTGCACCATGTAATGGAGGAGTCCAGTGGCGCAGCAGGGAGTGTACAGACCCAGAGCCCAGTGGTAGTGGCAAGGATTGTGATGGACACAGCATGGAGAAACGTGAATGTAACACACATAGCTGTAATGGTAAGTAGTTGGCCATCAGCTCAGCTTTGCATTTTTGAAATATATGTGTTCCAATGAGTAGAGGAGCAATACAGTAGCATCTTGGGGAATTGTTGAAGTTCATGACCAGTACATGAAATTTCTTTTCTTTATTTCTTATTAGAACAAATGCATAAGATCTATCGAGATAAGTTTCTATATTTCAGATGTTCTACATTAGTTTTCATTAGTTTGTATGCAAGCTGCATCTTGAAAAACATGACTTGATAACAAGATAAGACAAACTTTATATTGTAGTACTAAATAAACAAATTCTTAGCCACCATTCACCTTATGGAATAATAGGTGATCAGTCTATTAATAACTGCATGCTTGCTTTCATGTGCAGCTGAATGGTCCTGCTGGTCTGACTACAGTGCATGCTCTGTCAGTTGTGGCATAGGCACCAAGAAACGTACACGTGTCTGTGACAAGATAAAAGATGGCAGAGTGTACACTAGGGGATGTGATGGTGATTCTGAGCAGGAACTTGAGTGTGAAATGGCAGCATGTGATGGTAAGTAGGGTTGTGCATCATCAGAATGGGAAGAGTGGGGTGTAAGTAGGGTTGTGCATCATCATAATGGGAAGGGTGGGGTGTAAGTAGGGTTGTGCATCATCAGAATGGGAAGGGTGGGGGGGGGTATGTAGGGTTGTGCATAATCAGGGTGGGGGTATGTGTTTAATATTGTCTATGCATTGAGGACATTGTTAATAATTTTCCCATTTCACCATGTGGATTTTAATAACATCTACTTAATGTCAATTAAAATCTTCAATTTATAAAATATACATTTGAGGTATATGACATGAATACACTTTAGTAACGAACATAATGTAAATTGATATATGCATCATCAATGATATCTTTATCCTTTTCTTACATGCTTGCTTTCTTCAAATGTCTAAATCTAATATTATTTTAAACTTGACAGTGAATGATGGTTGGGGTAAATGGACCCTTTGGTCTGTCTGCTCACCTAAGAACCTACAAAAGCGAGTTAGGAAGTGTCTTCCACCATTCCCCACTCGTACACAGTGCAAGGGAGAAGATGAGGAGATCAGGCCGTGTGAATATAATGTCATAGGTAGGGGGTAGTAGTACACATACTGGGAATTTCCAGCAAATTGAAAAGTCCTTTGTTAAGAAGATGCTCTTGTGGTGTTATAGCTGGATGGTCTTATTGCTGGAAATCGCTAATAAAAACCAATGTTGAATGAATCATATTTCATAAATGAATAAGGCAAAATCTATCATTCATTCAGCATTGATTTTCAACTAACATTTAAAGCTCTCTTGCATTAGGGGAGTCACTACATAACACACTCAAGTCATCTTTCTTATTGTAAAGTAAATAACTGCTTCTAAACTGTAGCTGGGCTTGTGTGCCTTCTATATGCACATGTTGCTTTAGAATAGAGCTTACTTGCTCAACACATCAGTCATTCATAAACATCTTGGGTTTCCTTCCTTGTTACATATATACGAGTATATGTGAATGAATTTGTTGATGAATTTCACATGAAAAACAATGGCTTGAAAATGTTTGAAATTGTGTTTTTCAGATGTGAATGTGGCATCCGTGTCTTCAGGGAGCAAGGGCGAGAAGACAGGATTTGAGCTGTTGCACGTCATTATAGTTGGTGTGATAGCCTTCATCCTTGGGGCCGTCATAGCGATAGGAATATTCCTCTTCTGCCAGAGAAGAAGGCAACAGAAGTACAACATTCAACAAGACTCATTAAAACACCTTGAGAAAAATAAATCACATTTGTATATGATGCCCTCAGATAGTGGCGTCAATTTAAATAATAGCAGTAATATGAACATATATACTAATCTGAATCAGATGAACATGAATAGCATAAATATGAATGGGACACTCACAAAGGGTGATAAGATGAGTCAAATGACAGTGAAGGAGGCAACCATAAAAAGGAACTCTTTAATGAGAACTAATTTGTCAATTAATGACCTATAGTATCCATCCATCGATGGTTTATGACATCATCATTTAATTGACCAATCAGCTGACCCAAGGTGCCAATAAGGAAAAGTCGTCTCAACAGGGACTTATTCAAAATGAGCATGTAAAACGACTCAAGGAGCAATTCATCAGAACAAATTATGAACAGTATTAAAGCTTCTTCCAATCAATCATAGGTGTCATCACATGGGTGATCCTAGCAACTGTTGCCTAGTGAGTGTAAACAAACATTCCATATTGCTAGGCAGCAAATCTATGCAATAAATGGAAAATCAAGATGATTAAGCAGTGAAGATATTCAAAATGTGTTCAATATTGAATGTTGTGTGGATGTGATGTGAGATGTACATTGTAAAGTGGGTTACATACTGATATGTAACATAAACTGTTAAATGTATTGTAAAAACATGTGATAATTAAACTGCTGGTAGGTGAAATACTTTATTACTGTGAGCAAATAGTGGACCCAGCTCTCCATACTGAAGAACTGTATAGGACAACATTAAGGACATAATGTACTTTATGCACTGAAAGTGATCAAAATGTGCATAACTGTGAATATTACCTAAAAGGTAAAAAACTTATTGAGGCATACAACTCCAAGCTAGATTTTTTCTTGTGTACATTTGTGCTTTTGCAAAGAATATACTGTAGTTCCATATTTCATTTACTCTATTAATGTGGATCGTATACTTTCTAATTGGAAGTCCACTTTTGAGAAATATGTCCTTTTTAGTACTCTCTAGAGCTCTAGAAGTCCCATGATAGAACCATGCATTTGCTAGCCTGGTGCTAGATAACTAAAGGAGGGCTCTCTTAATGTGTTGTGCATATGTTTTGTTGCCTCAATTGTGATATACATGAATATGTTTATTATATGTATACTGATATACAAACTTATATTATACTGCTATTTTTGCATAATGAACAGGATATTTAATGTATCACTGGCCAGAGTTGAATAGTACATACAGGCATTACAGGGTGATCCTAAAAGTGAAACATTATATTTTGGTTCCCTCATAATCACTAATGAAATGAAACCCATTATGAGTATTAATTGATACACAAATAAAAGGAAATACCACCTGGTAGATACAGACAGTTAACCAAACCAAGATAAAGTGTTACACTGGGCTCACTCTGTAGATGCCTTAGAATAAACGCCAGCTTGCATGCCTGCATGACTAGCTGCTAGGAAGTGTTTTAATAACAGTTTTAATAGATATTTACCATTTTAACAAACCATATACTTATAAATGTGCACAGCAGTTTTAGGATGATTTTCATGCAATTTGGACCATAGAAATAAGACAGGGAATGTATAAAGTGATGTGGACATAATGTTTTTGATCAGTGTTATTGTACCATGTACAGTGCTTTATGTACAAAATATTTTATACCACATGTTGAATTCTAGGACAAACTTTTATGTAGGATACAAACTTTTTCAAACTACCATATTTTGTCTGACATTTGTCCTTATTGAAAAAACAATCAGGTGTTGAATTATTGTTCATAGGATTAATGTCAGCTAACATATACAGTCACAATTTGGCAAATTGTAAAATTAATGTTAAAATTTGTGCTTAGAGCATGGCCTCTAAAATATTATTTTTTAAATGTTGTTATGTACAGTAGACATTTTGTAAGTACTTATAGTAGTTTTCTGAATCAGCAGTCTGATGCACAACCTCAGAGAATGGCTTAAATAAGGCAGGCTTCAGTGTCATTTGCTGAGATGGTCACATTTTCTTGGGGCTGTGTGCTGGACTGGCTCATTTAGCTTTTCTGTGGTCATGTTGACACACTCCTGCTTATAACCCACCTGTAGGTTCCTATATGTAACAGCAGATGAGCTAGTTTGGTTCAATGCCTTGTATTGTACCTTATGTAGAGATGTGGTACAAGAAGCAAGATGCTTGACTAGTGTAACCATATAAACTATGGCATGGCCCATTCGTTAAAGCATCTTTGAAGAATTTTCTTGAAATAGTTGCTCTAATGGTTGCCTAGCTATATATAATCAATCACCATTATGGGACCTTCTTGATGGTTGGTGTACTTTAGGAACCTGCAGAATTCACTGCTAACTTTTGTAGTATATGACAAGGTGCATGCCGCAACCCAGTAGCACAATACTCATCTTTTAGGGGCCTGTTAATCATTTACAATTTGTGGAAATCATTTGTCTAGCAGGATGTTGCCATGGTAATATCATCAAATTCATTATTGGCTCAGAATGTTGCCATGGTATTTGGCACCATAATTAAATGCAATTCGCACAAGACATGGCAATGGTAACATTGTGTAATCCCTCGTGTGTACATTAGTTCAGTTGGCACAAGATTTGCTGTGGTATTAGATGTTTGATGGGTGCCATGGCAACATCTTTAAAGACATCATAATTCCATTGAGAAACTGGCCCCAGGTTAACAATAGCTTAATAATTAGTTGTAAATGTTGTACATAAAATTGTATTTTCATTGATGCAACAAGCATAATATCACAATTACAATTATGATCAATATTTTTCATTATCATTAGAAATTTTGAATTTACACTCATTCATTAAAACTGCATTTAATCATTTTGTATATATTCATTAAATATCAACAGATTAAAAATCATACATTCATTTTTTATGTCATTTTCAGTCATTTCAGACAGTGTGTATAATATGTAAATAATAGTTGGTGCTATACTCGTGTTGAATATCTGTATATAATGTATGTAATAATGAATTTTTTACATATAATGTGTGTATAGTGTAATATAATACCATATTGGAATAGAATATTTTGCATGTTATACTTGATGTAAGTCACAGTGGATATATTATGAATGGTGGCATCATTTTAACCATGATTAATATATATGTAACTTAGGAGCAGCAGACCAAGGTGACCAATCGCATGCAGGGAAACACTTTTGTCATTGACATTTGTTTGCAGTTATATCATTTTTCAGTTCAGAAAATCATATTTAGTTAATAATTTCAATTAATAATATAGCTTGTAATGTATATCATTATTTCTAAATTATAATGTGTAAACCTAACTTATAATATTGCATTGTACAATAAATGCACATTTTACAATACTAGTAATCCATGCATGCTATTAGTCACCCTGGCTGCTGCTTTTGTTGATAACTATAGTTATCACATTAAAACCAAGGGAAATAGTTTGTCTATCCCATTATAACTGAGGTAAGAAGAACAATGTATTTGCCAAAATATTGTCTCATAATTTGAAGTGTGCAAATAATATAGATACATTTATGTTGAATGTGTATATTTGACAACGCTCCCCATGTGAGGCTTCAATTCATGAAAACCATTTTAACTTTGACAAAGATTTTCGGTACATAATATACTTTTTAAAAACGTTACATTTAATGGTTTTTTAAATATTTTAGATAAAAAATATTAAATTATTGAAGAACATATATTTTAGATGTAACTGTTTTGAAACTTTTAAATGTTTTTTAATCATGAAAAATTAAGTGTTGAAATGTGTCTCTTCAATGTTGGATTATTTTATGGGTTTAGAGTAGACAGTGTGACACTTTACATGTTTTGAATATAATGAAGTAATCTGCTGTTGAAAGGTATATCAAAACATACTGTGACCCATCGTTTCATGTGATTGTTAACATAATACTGTTTACTATTGTCTACTATCCTTATAAAACTTATATGTTCATCAAAAGAACATTTCAACAGTCTAGCACACAGAGCAAAGAAATGCCTCAAATTGAAATGATTCTCAATTCAGGCAGGTAGCCTAATTGGTCAAGTTTTCTTGGGGCTGGGTACCAGACTGTTATGAATGTTGCCTTAAATATAACATAGCCTATAAAGACCCAATGGGAATATGAGTATTTCTAACCTAGTATATAGCAATGCTTAAACACATGTATAACCAGAAATATGCACTGTTGTAGCATTTCAGATCTTAATATTCATGTGTAAACCTTGTTGTTTTACCTGTGGAATATCACATGAGTGGGAGCATAGTGGAATAAAATTGTATGTAGCTATGTGAAAACCCAATAAAATACAAAACATAAGACAAGTGTTTGTTTATATGTATATCAATAGTATAGCGTCAGATATAATTTTGTAAATGGTAAAAGATGAAAAATGTATCATATCTGAGAAGTCAAACAGAGCAATATTCTTTATTGTTCACTAGATAGTTTTTCATCATGAAATTGACATTTCAGATAGCATCATCATAAGTACTTAAAGTAAAGTAAAGTAGAATTGTCTTCTTTGGAAGAATAGAAGGCAATTTCTGTCACATTAGATCATGGAAAATTCAAGTAGTAGCATTTTCAACATTTGATTTTCATCATCAACTGTCCTCTTTATTGAAACTGAATCCTTTGACGTTGCCAATGTTTGTTATAGGATTTGTTATATATTGCACTCTTGAAGAGTTGATGTCTTTTAGCAAGACATGTGCCTGAGACTGTTCATCAAATACAACATTGTCTCTTGTGAATAGATGTCCTTTGCTCCTGTACCATTCATCTATGGAAAAGTCTGGAAAGAATATTTGAATTTCTTTGGCAGCTGATATTGGAGAATCTGGAAAAAGAAATTGTATGTTTTAGAATGTGTTTCATCTCACAGTGACATTTTTAAGCATTCACTTCAGGAGGTGTTTCCTATACAATATAGCGAAGTAGACATAGTCCCAGACATCACTTGTAGGATAACACACAAATATGTCTAAAAGATGTCACACCACACCCACCTACTCGACAGTGTATGGTAACAGATTCGCATGTCTTGGTAAGTATATGTTTTTTTCATTTTAATTCAAGAAGTCTATGTTTACTCCTTGTTAGCGCACAATGATACAATTAATGAAACAATTGGTGAATATTTTACAAGAGTTACAGTATTACCAAAGAGTTGTTAAACAAAATTGATGTGAAATCATTTTATGCTACTAAGTGCTTAGTGATTGTTAAATTATTTATAATTATCGTTCTCTGAATGATCATCATTGTTTGTGTTCATTAATTGCTGTTAATTCAAGTATATTCCATTTTAAGTCAAACCTCTTAATCAGGTGGAAAAATGTTTCAATGTGTATTGTAAAATCTTATATTAAATTCATGGGCCTGTCAAAATATCTTGTTTTACAAAAGTAATCTCTGGACTCCCCTCTCTTATTTGAAAGGGCCAGGTGTAGTATGGCAAGTGATCGTGGACAGTCACATCTTTCAAAAAATTATGTTTTCTTTCAAGTGAAGTCCCCATGATAATAAATAATAAAATATCAAATAATAATAAAATATCAATCCAACTCTGAAGAATCATGGATTAGGACCCCAACTTGTCGTTCTTTAAAAAATTGTTAGGCTTATTTTCTAAAAAAATGAGGATCTTGTTTTTCTCAATTTAAACATATGAAACGTTTCTTCTGCACTGCACTATATTTCATAATTTCTGGAAAGGGGATGGGTATTGAAATGCACTTAAAAACCACACATCCCATGTTATTTTCCCATATGAAAATTCATGCCATTACATCCATTGTTTCCAGCATAACTTTGGTCATCGAAAATTGATATATTCAAAACTAGACTTTTAATACTATTCTACTTTTGAAGAAGTTTTAGACCTCTTGTAGAATAATCTTTTCATGCAATAAAAATCAGAAAAAGAAGATCATATTTTAAGTAAATAGTTTCAACATTTCGAATAAATTGTTGACATGGGGTCCCTATTCATAATTTTTCAAATTGTTTGATTGATATTTTTATCATTATGGGGACTTCACTTGAAAGAAAACATATTGTTTTAATACAAACAACTGTATTTATGGCCAGAAAGTACTCATGGGGAAAGATATGACCGTCTAAAATCACTTCCCATACAAGTCATACAACACCTGGTCCTTTGAAACAACAAGTAAGCCATAACATGTTCAATATATACCCATAATATGCCTAATGAAACTACTTTTATAAAACAACACATTTTATGTTGACCCTTGCCCTGAGGAGGCCTCTCACCAGAGCCATGTGCACAGTTCCTAGTGTCTGTCAAACCATACTGTCCTCGGATAGAATTCGGTTCTTTGAATATTGTTCTGAAAAAATACATATTTTGTGAATTAATAATAATCTTTACAAATATAAAAGTGTACAATAAACATAATCAACTGAGTACAAGCAGGATTTACAAAAATTGATTCATAAAAATACATGTAATTATGGATTGCAAACATTGTAACTTAGGTAAAATACCGCTTAGTGCAATAACAAACTAGTATACATGTAGGTATGCGTAGATTGGCTATTTATGCTAATCTTAAAATCCCTAGTATGTACCTGAATACTTTAGTTGGTCCCATTATCTTCCTCCAATGACTGATAGCATCCTGCCTGGCCAGTACATGTGCACTCACAGGACCACTGGAACAAAAATCATAATATTGACTTGCTATTTTTGTGGCATAACAATGATGCAAAGAATGAAACAATAATGCACAGAGAATATGTAGCCCATGGGATATCAAATTTATATCAACATTTCAAAGTTGATAAATATTTTTAATATCACACCTTTGCATGTTCATGTACATTTTAATTTTGTATATGAAGAGTTGCCATGGAGATTCAAATTATTTCTACACGCACTTATTCTGTGAAGCACACATGTAGAGTATAGAGTGGGGAATGATCTATTGATCTTACCTTTGCATGAATGTTACAAGTCTGTTGTGGAAGAATTTTCCTGGAAAAATTAATTGGAAAAATTAATTCATCATTAATTTAGATTCAGATAAGGTCTATTTCAACTGAGCAGGGCAATATGAAACTTTAAGTAAAGCAGTTTGCCTCAAAGTTGATGAGTTCTCACCCCTCCTCCTTCTTTCACAGCTGTAACACTCGTAGTCTAACCACATTGAATAAATGATTTTGTCATCCAATGAAGTTAAAGTGGCAGTAAAGAAAAGAGACTGTAAAATGTTGGACACAATATTCAAAAAGAATGCAAATGTTTCAATTTTACAATCCTCATTCTATATTTTAATAAAGGAATTAATATATCTGATCTGATCAAATGGAAGTTATTGAAAATCAAAGATGATATATGTTTTCATTAGAATAGAAAAACAAGAAAATGGCATCATTCTGTGTAGTCCTTAAACACTCCATGCAGACAGATTGCTCAATTGTAAAGCCACTTCCTTGACCAAAGTATTTTTTAAAATAAATGGTAAACATGAGAATGACACAGGAAGTACATTTGAGAAAAAGCCAATCTCAAATTGCAATGGGAATTAGATAGTTTTTCTATATATATTTCAATTAAAGTAATGTGTATGTGTATCCTATTAATGACATGCACGCAGGTAAAAGTCTAAGAGCTTGTAACTACAGCATATCATATATCCCGCATTTGTCACTTCAATGTGATAGGTGGGTGACTGAACGATCACCTACGTAATGAATTGATATACAGTAAAACCTGTCCGATGGAATACCCCTCTGTAGGGAAAATCTATGAACAAGGAATGCTTTTCAAAAGAATTGCATGGAGTAAGTAATTTTCTTTGGTATAATGAAAAGCATGAGTTAAAAATAAATTTTGTGGTTTTCTTAGTCTTTTTATGAAAAATAACATGCTCCTTCACAGCGGACAAATTTTTTGATACCAGCCTTTGTGTTAGAAATCTATTAACTTTAACCATAAGATAATTGATTTTATCATCAAATTAGATCAAAAATACATTATGGTTCACTATTGAGAAATTAACATGGAATTAATAACTATCAATTTGTCATATATTTGTCATATATATGTACATGTCAGGCCCGTAGCCAGAATTTTCCAAGGGGGGGTTCGTTTTTCTAAAAAATTCTAGGGGGGGTTCACTTTGGCAAATATGGCCAAAAATCACTCAAAAATTAGTCAGAATGGTGAAAAACTCCATGATTTTGAAAGAAATTTTGGCCAGGGGGGGTTCGTCCGAACCCCCCGAACCCCCCCTGGCTACGGGCCTGCATGTATACTAGATATTTATTTTGATTGTAGAACCAAAGAAACGTTGGGTTCATACTGTCATAATAAAAGTATGTCAAGGTTTTGCAGATTTGTTTCATAGGCTGATGAAACCACAATGTTTTGTTATTTCTATCATTTAGGTTTTGCAGATTCATCCCATAGGCTAATGAAACCACAATGTTTTGTCATTTCTATCATTCAGAGCAATTTAAATATTATTTAAGAGACATTGCTCTAGGTCTGAAGTGGGCTTAATGCTTATGTTTCTTCATTAATCTTTATCACCCTTGTTATTGTATAGTGGATTCCAAAGTTTTAAAATGCAATAAGTGATTAATTCTTATCATAAATGTATCAATATTGATTAAATAAAGTAAATTAATGGCATCCGAATGCACATCAAACATTTACATTTGAAAAAAAGGATATTTTTCTTGAATTAATCTCTGTTCAGTTACCTTTGAAAACTAGGGCATTTATCTTGAAGAAATGATTCCATTATAAGGTGATGATAATGTATCACGATTATTAAAAAATGGCACCATTGGGTGGATTCCCATGGTGATAGCTCATAGTCATCTTTAAATTTAGGTCATGTTTCAAAAGGTATGTGTACCACGCGGTAGGATCTCTTCGGGACGTATCGAAACCACTCCGTCCCGAAAAACCGTTAATTTGAATTTAAAACCTAACCCAGTGTTTGAAAATCAAGGATTGTGAGTCTCACACTTCACCATTTTTCTTCAAACTTGTTCCGTACAAAGCTTCACAGAAATACCTTTCAGTCGATACATTGTTTTTGTGTACAAAGTACCTCGTTTTAGCGGCGTTTTGGTCCCCAGCTGCGAGATAAAGCAAATTTTCATAACTTTCAACTGTAAGTCAAGTTATCTCGCCAGTCTTTTACCCATTCTCGCTCATAATTTCAGAATGGACTCCCATTACAACCTTCCATCGCTACGTTTTGATTTTTGGGCATCAAACGCAGCAGTTTCTAAATCATCCACACATCTCTTAAAATTTGACTAATACGTCCCGTCACCTTCCACTACGCCCCGCCGAGTCTATGACTACAAACGTGGAGTTGTATTCTAAAACATTTTGTTCATCGATGTGTAATTTTACATAGGTTTGCCTTGGTCGATTCTTAACACCAGTCTTAAGTTTAGCATACATACGGAGTATAACTATAACTGATTGCATGAAATTGATAATTTAAATGTTTGTGAAGATGTTGCTTTTTAACTTTAATTATATGTTATTATCCTGTATTTGATTTTGTGAGGAAACCAAGTGTCTGGTTTGAAACACAATATAATCTGGAATCCTGTTTTGCTAATGTTCAACATAAATAATTTATAAATTATCGGCCGAGGGCAGATTAGAGCGGATCAATCAATGATGTACAAAAAGTAACATGTAAAAGAAAAAACGCTATACTCACTGGTGATCCGCTCGATTACGCTGGTTACCAAAACGAATCGTTTTGGTAACAAGATGGCTGCTGTTCCGGCTGAAGAAATCGGTAAGAATTTTCGTTTTCCTTGATATCTCGAGATACAGCACGAATCATCCAGATCTTTTCGGCCGAAATATGGATAAGCAAAATATCTTTCTGGACAACCAAGTGATTTTAATCGAAATAGTTTGTAGGATGACAGGAACGCCCATTTAATCCCTCGCTTTGGTTACATATACGAATTGATGATAATACGACAACGGTCACGCATTTGAATACACTTGTAACCGAAACGGTTATGTTTAGCTATTGATAATCAATCAAAGAAATGTATATGTGTTATTTCTTTTTTTGAACGGCATCTTATGATACATATGTTTAAGTGCTACTACTGCAACACCGGGGATAATCAAATCGAACGTGTTATATAGAACATGAAATGAGACGGTACCTCACACAGGACCTTAAAGTGCATAAACGATATCTCAGGGAGGAAGTCGGGGGATTTAAGTATAGGTCCCACCATTTTGGGATAACGGTACAGAAAATAAAGGACCTCCAGAGGGAAGGGGCCAAGGTCTCCATTAATGAGACCACCACACTACAACTCCACATCAAGAGACTCTCATTACCCTGTGGAGGTTAGCCTTGCCTAAGTCGATATCTTTTTACTTATCTGATCTTGAATTATTAATAATAGAAATCAAAATAAGTAAAAGAGACCGACTTGGGCAAGGCTATGTGGAGGTGAATACTTTAAAACTCACTTTGTCCCCCACCTATGCATTTGGCCAAACTATGTTTATTAACTTTCTAAGATAAAAGTATTCCGAATGGTTCCGTTGATTATTTTAGAAGTTGAATATAGTGGATATAGTGACTTAAAAGATACTGAATTTGGATGACCAAAATGAGTTGAAACCAATTGTTTTTCTAAACGGGGAAATAACATTGTCAACACTCATCTTAAGAGAGTTCAGTTTTCATTTCAATAACTCATTGATATCAAAATAAAGAATATTCAAACATGACCGTGCTCTATTTGAATTTCTAAACCAATCAGAATGCAGCATATCCAATAATGAACGTTCATTATTTCTCCATATACTGTAGGCAAGACCGTGCTGTATTGAATCTGCTTCAAGGAATCTATATGCATGTATTGTGTGACATCACACCTGGGAATGGCGAAAATAACAGCAAGTTTGGTCATTCCTTAAGTAATGCATTAAACATTGTGAAAAATGATTGCATTGCATTGGTGAAGGGGAACATCTTTGTTTTTGCCTCTTTTGTTTATTCTTATTCTTGTTCTTTTACTGGTCACGTTTTCTCAACAACTACAAAGTATCTATTCAAGACAATTATATGGTCAATTAAGGTACAGTATCTAGTTGGTAAGAAATGGTGTCAAATTTTTATCTAGGCCAAAGGTCAAGAACTAGGTCAAATCCAGTACTTTGTCCTTTTTTTCAATTGTCTCGGTCATCTTTCAATATTTTCGCTCCGTTTTTTCTATTTTGATGACTATTGCTCTCGACAGAAAGCTTCAATTTTTATTGCATCATATTTATTTATTTACCTGTATTTAAACAGAGTGGTTTTAAACATATGCAGTTACTACTTAAATTATAATAACACTATTTGCTTAATTCTATGAAGAATGTTTTTATAGTTTTTAATATTCTATCGTCCAGCGTATTCTCTCCGAATTATTGATCTGGCTATGAATTTTATGCACTAAACATAAACATGTAATACGTATCAGAATGATACTATACAATATTATATCACAAAGAACATTTTGTCATGACTATACATATTTTCTAAGTTCATCATCATGCCACAGTGTAAATGTACTGTATGACATCCAAGGCAAAGTACTAACAAAGCCGGGTGTGAAAGAAATTATGGTCCCCTGGGGATTATGGTCCCCTTTCCTAACGGCCCTTTCTGGCCCTGATTGTGTATAAATAATAAGGAAAATAATTGTAATCAGGTCACCATTATATAAATCAATAGAGACTAGGACCATAATTTGATAGGACCACCTACGCTTTTACACCGGTGGGTGTGTGTTTATTTAACAAAAAGTTGATACGTTTCTTCAGGTTCAACAAAGTTATAGGTTAGGGTTGTCCAAATCTGCAAAATTTTCCAAAAATCTGTCATCTGATAGATTCTAGTTACAAATTGACTCTTGGTACAAATATTTCCACTCTAGACCCCTGGGAAATTTTGCCACGCGTCTCACTTGAAGTTTTGGTAATTTTGACAAATATGCCGTTTTCATAAATGGTTTATAACTCAAAATTAAACTGTTGTATTTCAGGAATATGTATTTTTTCTTCATCATGTATGATTTTCAATAACCCTACAGGCACCACTTTTTTAGCTTAATCCATCGGGAAACTGTTGTGTGTCAACCTTTCTTCTGTATGATTCCATTGGATTACATTATGAAACGTGTACCATATAAAATGATACATGTTTCTAACGTTATGCTGAAAATAATATAATTGACATCACTCATCCTTTCGCATTTTAACATTTTTTCAAGGATAGGGCACTTTAAACGTTTCTTAAAAATATTTTCAATTGTTCAGTAATTAAAATCTTTATATTGCAATATCGGGAAATCTAAATTTTAGGGAGATTTTGGACCACCCGATTATAGGTATATTGAAAATGGACAAGAATGGGTAAATCTTAAAACACAATCCGATTGGTATTTAGAATCGACAATGGCAACCTACAAACGGACACATCGATGGACAAATTGTTTTAGAATGCAACTCTACGTGTATAGTGATAGACTCGGCGGGGCGTAGTGGAAGATGACGGGGCGTATTGGTCAAATTTGAAGAGATGTGTGGATGATTTAGAAACTGCTGCGTTTGATGCCCAAAAATCAAGACGTAGCGATGGAAGCTTGTAATGGGAGTCCATTCTGAAATTATGGGCGAGAATGGGTAAAAGACTGGCGAGATAACTTGACTTACAGTTGAAAGTTATGAAAATTTGCTTTATCTCACAGCTGGGGACCAAAACGCCGCTAAAACGAGGTACTTTGTACACGAAAACAATGTATCGACTGAAAGGTATTTCTGTGAAGCTTTGTACGGAACAAGTTTGAAGAAAAACGGTGAAGTGTGAGACTCACAATCCTTGATTTTCAAACACTGGGGTAGGTTTTAAATTCAAATTAACGGTTTTTCGGGACGGAGTGGTTTCGATACGTCCCGAAGAGATACTACCGCGTGTGTACATCATGTAGGTCAAATTCAAAAATCATGTATCAAGTAGAACTCATATAATAGTAACAACATAATTGCTCCATAAATGTATACGATTCATTAAATTAGGTCATCACAAAGAATGCAAAAGTAGGTCAAATATATGAATATCATAAATAAGTATCACCCACATAATACAATGAATATGATCAATAGGCTCATAGTTAATTATGAAATCATTGTGGGATTTAGGCTAAAATATACTCTTACTTTTTTGATGTTCTCTTGAAATATCTTTGCTTGACCATAATCAGAAAAATGTATATTTGAGTGACATATTCTGTCACACAAAAAATGGGCGTGACTTCAATTTCTTGAAGCAAATGCTTGACAAATACGCAAATTGCGGGACAGTAGGACAGCCTGACCTGTATACATTAGTTCAGAAAATAGAGTTCTCATTTGTCAAAAAATTGTTGACAAATGGACAGACAGACAGAAAGACAGGTGGAGAAAAAATACCAAAATGTGAAGCATTGAATTTTTTAGGCTTTATTTTCAGAAAAGAATGCTTGTAACATTGTAATAGACCAGTTGTGTAAGTTAGCTGTTTATTAAGGAAGTGAAATTGAATTGAGGCAATGGTGGCTGCCACAATTGAAATATTGAGGGGATCTTGAGAGGGTGTGCCACTCAAATTATTTCTATAATGTACAAAATAATAAGCTAAAACCTATTGTCAATATATGCACATGTAGTGCAGGGAGTGCAGGGGCGGATCTGGGAATCATCAAGGGGGGGCCCAAATTTTCAGACCAGAAAAAATGTTGAAATTTTGAGGCCCATTTTCTTCAAAATTTGGCCTAAAATTAAAATTAGGCCTTACAAGGCCCAGTAATGACCAAAAAAGGCCCACTTTTTGGGGCCTTAAGGCTTTTTTGGCCCCAATTTTTTTTCTGGGCCCACCCAAGGGCCCGGCCCCCCAAGCCCCCCCCCCCAGATCCCCAGTGTAGTGGGTTACCTTTGTGATCCCTGTAGAACTCCTCAACCTTCTGCTTGGTTAGTATAACAGTCTGTGATCTAACGATGAAGAAGTTGTTCCGCAGTATGGTATTCTTTATACACTAAAATTAAAATGTATCCTGATAACTTTATACTTTAGAGTGACCATGAAAGTGAAAGAACTCATGGCAGTTATGGAAAGAAAGAAAACATGCATATAAAGCTAAGAAATACATCCTCTTTATTTTGATACAATACAATGACATATTACTGTAAGCCCTAAAGTCATTATTTAGAACCAATTCAAAGGTTTTTAAAATGACTATATATGTTTCATACTTTCTGGCAGAGTATACATGTACAAAACCTCAAACCACAACTGACTTTGGTAAACTTCGACAAGGCATTAAGATACAAAATGTCACCACCTGCCATTTGTTACAGACACCATCCACTGGCCACTTGTATTGGTGACATAACAATACTGTGACTCAATTACCAAGGTGCCAGTAGGTAGTTATCGATTTCACCTCCAACCAGGTGGCTAATTCGGGTCAGATAACATGGCAGGCAATGGCAGATAAAGAAAAAGGCCCCCTAAACTTGTACTTTCAATAGATTAAGCACATTCAGTATGCAAGACCAAATCATGAACTCTACCTTATCTCTCCAAGTTCAGTTCATTAACATGAAAACGTTCCATTGGTAATTATGTCTATTTTGCCATAACAAACAGATGGCTATGATCCTAGACCTGCAGGCCCCAAGCCAGCACCTGCCAAAGATTAACAGTGGAAGGGGTTCACTTTTGACAATGAACTATGTCCCCAAAATGGCAAAAGTCACTTGAAAAGCACTCAGAATGGTGAAAAACTACATGATTTTTGGCCAGAGGGGAAGGGAGTTGCTCCAGCAATTTTCATATAACCTTTTTCAACTTGATAATTATATACATGTGATTAAGAATACACTGTATGTCCACTAAAAGTCACATTTTCAAAGAAAATTAAAATTACAAAGACGATAAACGATTTTTCAAGCCACATTTCTTGGTTATTTTAGCAGTGGCGTAGCTACGTGTACGCCAAGTACGCCCAGGCGTACTCTCAAATTTTAAGGAAAAATAAAATTTACCTGATTAATTGTGATGAAAAATAAATATTTTACCCAAGAGATAGAAATCGATAGGAGATCTATGAAGACTCGTGTTAATAAATAAAAAAGTTCTCGATTATTTCATTTTCTTTGTTTTGAATCAGTTAGCTACTGATAATTAGAGATACTTGCGTTCCACAATGAACGAGGAAAGACTTTCTTCCTTGGCCATGATACATATCCATAGGGAACAGGATATAAACATTGATATTGTTATTGACATGTTCGCAAATGCAAAAAACAGAAAGATAGAATTTATTCTATAGAATCACGTACAGATTGTTAAGATCCGAAATGGAGTTGAGACGGTCGTGTAACTGTTCTTTTATTGTTAATCATCTTGTGAGCTAGATAAAAACAAACACAGAAAAAATAATAATATTTCATGGAGAATGACCACAAAAGCTTAAAACAATGAGCCTCATTCATACAGTTTTAGGTAGCCTAAAAAATAAAATCGCCTTGATAGACGGCTTCGATCACCGATGGCATGATTATATAGAATCTGTCTATTTTGTTTCCCGAATATTATCTGTTAATACAGTTAATTCAGTCCCTTTAAAAAGCTATGTCAAAATGATCAAACAATACATATTTCCTTCATTGAATTAAGAGTGTTTAGTGTGTCCCCTATCTTCTGGACACCCGGGATCTTCCTATTTTATAGAACCATCGTTTTGTTAATTTTGATAAAAACCGGGAAATCATACGGGCGTACACTCGCAAAATGGGCTAGCTACGCCTCTGTTAGATTATGTAAATCTCAAATATGAGTTCACTTTTACTAAAATTTGAATCTTTTATAACCTAAATCAGGATTATTTCTACTTGCATCTACATGTACTCTATTGTTTGTGAAGGTGACGAACCTCTTGGGTATATCCCGTACAGGGACGTAATTAAAGGCATACTGTAACATACAGCCGACAAAATGGTTAAAAAAAACATTTTCTCAGTGTTTAGAGTCAATTTTATGGTTTAAAACCTTCTCTGGTGATTCTATTTTCAAACTATGCATGAAAGTCCATTCAAAGTCACCTATTGAACCTTGAAAAGCGATATTTAGACTGAGGATTGAAATGTATTCACGACAACTTTCAGCTCATCTTTATTACGACAGACCGGAAGTGAATTTTCCAGTCGAGTAAATGGTGATAATGTTCTTTTTATGAAGAGGGAAGTCAAAACATTACTAATAGAAATCATAGTAAGCATTAGAAGATCATTTAGAAGCATTTAAAATCGAATCCACGGCAAAATCTGAATAATTGAAATATTCACAGGCGGACGAAAATATTTTTCTGAATTTATCCGATATCTGCTGAAGTATGGTATGTATACTTGTGTTGATTGTTAAAATACAAAATAGGTAAGGTAAAGAATATGCAAAAGTAGTTTGATCTTGTCCCAGAAGCAATATTTTGTTATTTTTATCGACTAGAATTCCTTTAACGCATGTAATCAAGGAAGGCAGATCCAGGAACCCCTCCTTGGAAGAGCCTTTTGTTCTTTTAAGTGCACTCATCTCATACATTGTCATACATTACAAGTACAGTACGACCACTGGCAGATTTGGGAGCCCATGGGGCCCAGCCCCCCTTGAGTGGGCCCAGAAAAATATTTGAAGGCCCCAATTGTAGGGCCTCAAAAATGGGCCTTTTGGGGCATTAGTTAGCCTTTTTGGGCCTTTTTAAGACCAAATTATCAAAAATGGGCCTTAATTTTCAAAATTTGGGCCAAAAAAATTTCTGCGCTAGCAAGGAATTTCTATCCTTACTTTAAATGTGGGTCCCCCTTGTTAGCTTCTGGATCCACCAGTGCACATCCCAACCTTTTTTACAAGTTGTGGCAGTCAAACATGCTGAAGTACTTTATACTTAATTAAAGGTAGATTACGCCATGGGTTTCTCCCCTGGACAACCAGTGATGTACCATTATAATTGCTAATCTTGAGACCAACTTATGGGTAAAGTATTGCCGATATATTGAGAGAATCAATAGAACAATAAATTGTCAGAACTGAACACAATTGAGTTCAATAGCGGCAATGGAGGGAAAACCCTTTCAAATGACAGGAGCACACGAGCGTCAGGAAATTTGGCATGCGCCTTGAGCCAGGCAGCAAATCAAATTTAAAGCTCTTTGTCAATTCCTTTTAAAATTTCCAGAACTGCCATATATGGAGTTCCTTTGGTCACGTAACCAATACTGATAAACAATTTAACATCCAATCAGATTACATATGAATTTCTCCAGTTTACTCAAGTTTCAGATAATTAATCTCAACGAAAATATTTCAACTGGTCAGCACAATCCCATAACTAGCACATAGAGCAGTGGTTTGGGGGTTTCTTCGTTGGTGAATTTGTAGGTGAATATGTGGTACAGCTCAACATGCAAAAAAGTCCAAGGTGTCTTGATTGTGCTTTCCTATCGCAACATCCCTCATTAGTATTGCCTGAAACAGGGGTCAAATCCGGGAGCTATTGCGCAAGAGGTACACGCACTACTGCTGAGATGGATTGACTATGTGTGGTAACTTTTGTAGTCTAGCATGAGATTTCAAAAACTTTCCAGGAAAAAATGAAGTTTTGACATTCAATTTATTTCCTCTTGAATATTGTGCTTATGTTTCATCATCATGAACTTCCAATTTTGATAGCACAGACAAAGTGATTAGGACTGTGTCTAGATCTTAGCTTTCATAAACATTTGTGATTTGCTATTTCTTTTCCCATTTCTTTTTAGATCTAATGTGGTGCATAGATAATTACCTGTGCTATGATAGGATGAGATAGAACATCTGGTTTTAGAATGGCTAGTGTCACCTCGAGATTCTTCATTTATGCCAACCCTTAAGAGTGACCAATTAACAAGATAAAGATAAAACACCGTGAAGAAATATTTTCAAAATTTTTTTACTTCCGGTTGCCAATTGCGCACCAAGACATGATGTGATTGGCTAATTTATCGCATGTGCTTTCTCTTTCCGGTCAGCCATTTTTGCGTAAAAGTGTGAGTTCTCTTTCCCACTTTGATTCCATTATTTTCTTACTTATGCCCCAAATCAGATAATATATGTAAGTGATTTCTAAATATAAGTACTTCATTGTGTTTTTTTATTACTTTTAGTAGGTAACTAAGAAGCAAACATGCAGAACGAAGCTGGTGAATATGTGGATATGTACATCCCAAGAAAATGGTGAGCTTTTTTCTAGACCTCAAGCGAACTCCAATGCAGTGTCTCGGTATAGATACTGCGGCGGGCAGATGAAGAAAATCCTCAAAATTTGGGGAAAATAGTTCCCCTTTTCATTATGTGGTGAATTTTCACACAACTTATAAAATATGTATTCATGAATGTTCCCCAAACATTATTTTGTCAAAATATATATCAAAATTATTGAAATATGAGAAGAAATCACCGCGGAAGGAATTCTGACTAAAAGTTGTGTTGATAATAGTTTACCGCACGTGTTGTTTATTAGAATCCATTTCACCGTTTAACTGCGTCAGTAAAAGCTAAAAAATAAGAAATCAAAATATCATTTTGCAATAGTAGGGACTCCAGTGACTTTCCCCCCGGGGAAAATACGTATGCCAACCTATGTTAAATAACCATTTTTATTTCGTTGAAAACTCCTAATGTCACCAATTGATTCCACTTTTTAGTGCTTAATAATAAGAAAGGGATATTATTCTATCATATTTACCTTGTTAAGCAGTGATACAGTCTACATGTGTCGCTAAAACGTAGTTAATAAGAACCAAAACTTTACAAAAATGGCGGAAGTTGTTTTTCAAAATTTCCGGAAGTAGGTCACTATGTTGGAAAGAAAATTAATTCACACTCGTTAGACACAAAAACTGATGACGAACTGCACATCACGTTTTTCGAAAAAGAATCAAAATTTTAAAAAAAATTAGTAAACACTAATTATTTAGGTCTTACTATGAGGTAAGTAATGTAGAATATACCCAATATTTAGCGGGATGATTCTAAGTGTTCTGGATGGAGGAACTTCATGAAACCGTGTCAACATTTGAAGATTTATGTGTTTTACAAAAAAAATTAACTTCAGATAATTCCCTTGGTGCGCACTGTTGCACATTCTAATTTTGTGACCCTTCCCAAACCAGAAGTGGAGTGCAAACCCGGAAGTAACATTGACTTGTCATGTAAATATGTTGCATGTATCCACTTACTGCAACCAGGAAGTTTATTCTTGTAATATACCATGTATAGCCATGTAGAACGTCATGTATATGTTTTAATAGTAACCACTTACCCCCCCAATTTGCCTACATTATGTAAATCTAGTCTTGGACTTTTAAGGTACTTGAAGGAATGTTTTTACTATTTTAAGGAATATGGCTGAAAATCGCCTAAAAATAAGTAGGGGTATACCTTCTTTAAAATGCCATATCTTCAGTTATATTTGTCAGAATAAGGTGGGTCCATCTCATTAGATTGGAAATTGAATAAGCTTTGCAAGCATATATTACTTGTCAAGTTCAAATAAATTTGAATTTTTTTATGTATTATTTATATATTTTTATAAAAAAGAGCAAAAAACGTGGCACAAAGTTTATGACGGGTACCATCTTTAAAATGTCATAGCTTAAGATAGGGTGAGTGTATCAAATTGGGGTCTGTTTCATATAATTACTTGTTGAATAAGCTTTCCGACCATATATA